TAAAGAGTATATTATGTCTATAGTAGCAAGAAATGTAATGGAGGGAGAATGGAATGTAAAAATGTTCCAAACAAGACTTTCAAAAATTTCAAGCATCCGAACGTACATTGAATTATAGAGATGAACTGATACTGTATTGCACAATGTAACACGTGAGTAACATACGTCAGTCATACGAGAAAACACTTCGACTGAATGAAATCATACTCTTCTTTTTTTTCACGTGTCCTGTAAATATACGTGCCCTTAATTTTGAAAATGGTCTAAGTCATATCAAGCATCAAAAATTATAATTCCATATAAGTTACACTCTATATTACAGTTATAATAAATCCTCATTTGACGAAACTAAATATTTTCTGAAATATTTTGTTACATAGTATAAAAACATTTTTTAATCTATTTAATCACCAACCTTTAAATTTTTATCTCTACGCTAAAAATATGTGACTCAGTTCACTTTCCACTTTTTTTTTATTGGTATAAGTCCATTTTTGGAAAAAAATTAGGTAATGGTAGTTTTAGTGAAATATTCTCGTTTTATATTTATAATCACACAATCAATGGCGTACGATGTCCTCAACAATTAATCAAAAGAATTTTATATATATAATTATAAAAAAAATATATATATAATTTCATAAAAATTCATGCAATAAATGGTTAATTGATGGCGTTCAAGACTCTTTCTATGTATATTATTCGAATGTTACGTGACAATACTAATTATAAAAATTTCAGCAGACCCTTCGAACCACTGACGAATCATAAATTCCTGCTAAAGCATAAATAGAAACATAAACATAAACTATTTATAATTTCAATGTTTTTGTAGTGACATCAGAGCGACGTCTTTGGAGGATCGTTACTGAGCAATACTGGATTCCGCGTAGAATTCTTCGTTAACACTTTATCTATAATTGATCATATGCATACAAAGAAATATCAAGTTTTAAAAGGGATTCTATAAATAAACATTCGATTTTTACGCATTGGAATATTTACTGAAAATAAAATTTATTGCATTCTCCGCTAAATATGCGCCGTCTTTTTTTTGAGTGGTATATTGAGATAACGGTTTTCATTTTCAATGAGTAAAAAAATTGGTAAATATTAATTAACTCGGGAAATTTTCTTTACAACTGTAAACACGTTAAATTTTACTGTGAAAAATAATTCATAAGATTACTAATCTTTTAACACTAGAACTACCGAGCATTTAATACGATTAATATGTATTCCCTATACAAATTGTAACAATAGATTATTTTCAGTTTCTTCAGATATTCATTATAGTATTCAAGGGAAATTATTAATTTTCAAAATCATTTCGAATATTCAATGCTTTTAAGATATCAATAATTGCGAAACAAAACATTTGAGACCAGTCATTTTGACTCGTACGTAGTTCTAGTGTTAATATAATTTGGCTATTTTAAATTCATTTATTAAACAATTATGAAACAATTATGTATTAATTATAACTGATAATAATTATTAGGCACCACAATTCTTACGTTAAACTGTTTCTAGTTTCATACGCTATTAACTCCTTGTGAACGAGGATTTTTAGCATTATTAAAAATTTTTTCTATAATAAATTAAATTCTCAA